TCTACTGCCCACTGTGCACCCAACATTGTTCCTGGAGCTATATGGACATTAACCCACTTAATCTCCATGACCATTCCATAAAGTACTATTATCATCCCTGTTTTCAGATGGAATAACCAAGGATTCAGAGAGGTTAGGTAATAAATTGTCCAATGTTACATAGAAAGAAAGGGGCAAGCCCTGGCCTGTTTGCTCAGTTGCTTGGAGCATCATCCCCATAAGCCAAGGTTCAGAGTTCAGTCCCTGTCATGGCACATACAAGAATCAACCAATGGCACTGGCTGATGTGGCTCAGTGCATTGAGCGCTGGCCTGTGAACCAAAGGGTTGCCGGTTCAATTCCCAGAAGGGCACATGCCTGGGTTGCAGGCCAGGTCCTCAGTGGGGGACTTGCAAGAGTCAACCACACATTAATGTTTCCCTCTCTTTCTCCCTCCCTTCCCCTGTGTCTAAAAATAAGTAAATAAAATCTTTTTTAAAAAAAGAATCAACCAATGAATGCATAAATAAGTGGAACAACTAATCAATGTTTCTCTCTCTCTCTCTCATCCTCTCTCTAAAATCAATAAATAAAAAATAAAATGTAAGCCCCAACCAGTATGGCTCAGTTGGTTGGGTATCAGCCTGCAAAGCAAAAGGCCAGCAGTGTGATTTCCAGTCAGGGTGAATGCCTGAGTTGTGGGTTTGACCCCCAGTTGGGGGGTGTACCGAGAGATAGATTTCTCTCACACATTGATGCTTGTCTCCTTCTCTTTTTTCCCCTCATTTCCCCTCTCTCTAAAAACAAATAAATAAAATATTTAAAAATGAAATAAAATGTAAATTTCCAAAAAAAAAGGGGGCAGAAGCTGGAATTGAATCCTCTTGGACTGTCTTCAGGGCCCATGTATTTGTTTGTAATTATTCTACTGCCCCTCTGATTGGGAGCGGGAGGCAGGGGGTGTGTGGGTGAAGTACCTGAATTCTTTCCTACCCTCAGAGAGATCCAGACTACAGGAGCATAGCCCTTTCCTCCAAAGAGCCTCAAGTTTGGCAGGGGAAACAGATATCCTCTGCTCGGGAAGTATGTCAAGTCTGATGATAGGCTTTTCTTTTGGGAACATCTGTCTCATATTAGAGACTCAGCCCCAGGATGCTCCCAGTTTGATGAGTTATGTGATTACACTTTAGTAGACTCAGTTAATCTAAGTAAACAGAATTGTGAACATTAATGTGAGAGAGATGAGAATATAGCAAATTTTGAAGGAGGTTTATTGGAGTTCTCCCCTAGAAGAAGGGAGGGTGATGCAGGATTGGCAATAAGCAGAAATGCTCATGGAAGGAAGAGGGTATAGCCCTTTGTGGTGTGCAGATTTGCTGAGGACAATGCCTAGAAAGCAGAAGTTTGCCTAGCCCAATGATATTCAACTCTGGCTACTCATTAGAATTAATACCTTGGGAGGTGTTTAAAAAACACTCATGCTTGGGGCTTCACCCCAGGACAGTTCATCTTTAGTAGTGAGGCCAGGGTATTTTAAAAAGCCCCTCAGGAGATTCCAATTCACAGCTGCTGTTGAGGACCACTAGCTGGAGTTAGGGTCTTAAGCTCTGGAAACTGGGATTTTGAGTGGCTTATGTACAAGGGATTCTGGAGAACTATGTTTGCTATTCTCACTGATGGTCTTTGGCAATTCAGTTCAACACTGATAGGCATTCCCTACTTGAGTGTGATGAAAAATGAAACTTTATTCTCTACAAAGCAGTTCAATTGTGATGCAGCACAGCTGTGAAAACAGCAAGGCTGTGAGGCAGCCACTAGGTGGCCAGGGGGACCTGGGGCCAGGAGCCTCTCCATTTAAACAGTTCCGCACTGTGCTAGTCTGTGTTGTGCTTCACTGGTCTGCTGCACTCTGCTCCAGTGAGACATCTGTATTTCAGCTCAGCCAGGGAAGCACAGTCTTCCGTCTTTGGTTGAAAGGGAAAGTGTGCTCCCAGAGCCAGAAGGGAGTTGGCTTACATAGGCATAACTTGCCTCTCCTGGTCCCTGGTCTCTCTCCATGCAAATGAAGACTTCAAATTCTTGAAGTTATCTGATGGAACCAAAAGACACTATCCTGATTGGTCACAATAGAGGTGCTATGGTTGGTTGGGATTGCACAATTTCAATTGGATGGGGAAAGCCTCAGTCCTATTGGTTGAAATAGGATTTCAGGAACTCTTTTATAAGGACTGGCTCAGATGACAAGAACACAGTGCAAACCGGCAGTTCAGTGAAGAGGCAGACGTTTCGGTGCAGGCTTCTCCCTCATGTGCAGTTTGTGTGTGAGAGACATCTCTCTATAGAAATGCCTGCTAAGTTGATTTTTTGTTTGTTTTTTAGCCCAGTTAGCCACCAGGACCCCTTAGTAGGTGCTTTCTTTCTCAGGGTTCACATTATGAACTGAATTGTTAAGGATTAGAGATTAAAGTGAGGGGGAACAGAAAATTAAGGGACCAGAAGAGAGAGGTGAGATTACTGCTTTGGCTTCTAAGAATCTGGAGAAATTTAGTTCCTCTGTTGCAGGGTTTGGAGGTGAGATAAGAGACTTCAGGAGAAGTAAAAGCTTTGATAACCCAGTCCCTCCTCATACTGAGAGTAACCATCAAACCTGACTATCAGAAGCTAGAAGGTGGGCAAGAAGCACTAAGCTAAGAATATTTTCTTTGCTTCTGTACTTTTTCTTAACATTTTCCTCTATCAGTATCACCATTCACCTCCCTTTCATGAACCTTCATGCAGAATGAAAAGAAAAGTTTGTCTCATTGATACTCTAAGAGTACCACTATCTCAAGGCCTTTTCACTTGCTATTATCACCTACCTGCTACATTCTCCACTCAGAAGCCTGAATTCTTTAATTGTCAATTCCTTCAGATGCTTGCTCAAATGTTACTTGAGCAGAACAATTTTCTGTAACTACTTATAAGAAAAGTAATTTCTCCCTCCTTCCCACTTCTTATTCATTTGTCATGTTTTATTTGTCTCATAACATTTACTGCAGCCTAGTATATTTTATATTTTTCTACTGCCTTTTCATCCCCTACAGAATTAAACAATATGAAGGAGGGACTTTGTCAATATATTTTTTTTCATTATTGTATCTCCAAGACCTAGAATTGTGACTAAAACATAAGCAGGCTATTGAGAAATATCTGTGAAATTCATGATTAATAAATAAATAAATGAAAATCTCTTATGTATATGCACATTGGTGTGTGGTTGTATGCATTTGTGATTACATTTTTATTTTTCTGGGCTAGGTATGGCTCTTCATACCTAGCTCATATTTAAGCTCTGTGTTTTCCTGTGCATCTGTGTTTTTAAGTATATGAAGGAATTTCTGGATCTATACATAAGATGTATGCATAATGTGCTTCTGAAGGCTTGTGTGTTTTTCTGCCTGTGTTTCTGTATCCTCCAGTTGTGTGTGGAGGTGCCTGAATCATCATCTTTAGAAAAAAAGAGTGTGGCTGCCTCTTACCAGTAGAGGGCACCAGAGAGCCAATGTGCGGCCTCACAGGGGCCAAAATGGAGCAATCTTGGCAGTAGTACTAGTGACCCAGGAGACCTACAATTTGCGAGGAAACAAGTGGAGACCTCTCTAGGTGAACGCAGTACTCCAAAGTTGTGCAATTCATGTTATTTCTCCTCAACTCATATCTTAGGATCCAGACGTCCTGGCACCCCCAGCACCCTGTGAGCAGAAACATCTGGTTAGAGGTTGTGAGAGAAGCTGGTTGCCAAGCTGGGTTCCCAAGAAGGAGACCCCCTACTGAATGCTCTCTCTTCCCAGTACCTAGATCTCTCAATCCCAAAGGATCTCAAACTCCTTCCTGCTTAGAGATCCTCCTGTGGCTGTCCTCACCTTGGCCCTTCAAAGGGTGGAGTTGGCTACTTTCTCCTTCTGGATCGGTAAATGCCCAGGATGAAGGAAGGAGTCAACTGCACCCTTTTCTCAGCAAGAGCCAGTGGAGGACTCCAACACTTAGCCTGGCTTCGCTGTGTAGGGAAGACTTCCTGGCAGGCGCTCCAGGAGGATCCAGCAAGCAGATTCTGCAGCTCTCTAGGGAGAGGAAGGAATCTTCCCCCATCATTCATTAGTCAATTAAAAACTCCCAATTTGGGAAACCTAAAGTGTGGAATTAACAAGGAAAACAAAACCACGGAAAGGGGTGTTGCTTTTTCTTTTTAAATCTTCATCAGAGGATATGTTTATTGATATTAGAGAGAGGGAGAGAGAGATTTTTATTGCCTCCCCCACTCGCCCTGACCAGGGATCAAACCCGCAACCTAGGCTATGAGCCCTGACCAGGAATCAAACAGCAACCTTTTGGTTCAGGAGAGGCGGTTCCAACCAACTGAGCCATCTGTCCAGGTTAGGAACTTTATAATTCTTGATTCCATGAGACACCACTTGCCCACCCTCTCATCTCCCAAACACACTTACACACACCCAAACACACAAATGTACTACCACACTCTTCCTTCCCCATCACTGTCCTCCACTGGGCTAGAGGTTTGTCCTTAGCCCATGCCCAGTCTCCCTAATCCACTGCCTAGTTCAGCAGCCCGGTACCAAGACTGTGAATATAAATGGGAGAGAGGAATGGGTGGGCAAGTGTCCAGTCGTTCGTGTCCCACTGCCAGTGGTTGTCACATTTGTTACCCCCTTTGCCTTTGCCCTCAATCCTTTTTTTTCTTTGCTCTCTTACCATCTACGTTCCAGCGGGGTGGGGGGGGTTGTGCGCGCGCGCGTGGGTTGGAGAAGGAGGAGGAGGGTTGTGGAGGAAGAGTAGACGTCAAGAGGAGGGAGGGAGAGAGGAAAAGAGGGAAAGAGAAGGATAGAGAATGGGAGAGCAGGGTTGAAAGAAACCCAGAGAGAGAAAGCTTGAGGCTAGAAATAATAAAAGAGGGGTGGGGAGGGAATGAGAGAGAGCGAAGAACCGGACTGGGAGGAAAGAGAGATAAAGAGAGCGGAGGGAAGGGAAGTGAGTTTGTGCGCACTAGTGTGTACGTGTGTGCAGGGGGCGGGCGCGGGCGGGGGGCGGTCCGGGCTCCTCCTCCCCAGCCGTCTCCTCTGGCTCGCTCTCCAACTCCGGGCCCAGCCGCGGGCGGGCGCAGGGCGGGCAGACAGCATGCTGAGCCTCCTCATCTGGATCCTCACTCTCTCCGATACTTTCTCTCAAGGTAAGAAGGGCTCCAGTCCTCCCAGGACTCTACTCCCACCCCGGGGCTGGGGGACAGCACCCCCACTCTGGGAGTAATGGGGGGCTGGCGGCCCGCGGCCCTGGGGTCCTGACGCCATGAAACGGGGACTAGATCCCGGAGCAGAACCCTGGGGCGCGGGCGCGGAGCAACTGGGGCTGGGAAAGAATTAGTTTTCGGTTAATTTAACCAAGTTGCTTCCTCTTGCTGCGCGGGAGAACGGAGCAAAGATTGAGAGAGAGAGACAGAGAGACAGAGAGACAGAGACCCGAACGTTCAAAGTCTTTTCCCAAGCCTCTGGCAGCCCTACCTACCTTTCCACTCTCTGAGGCCGGGAGTCTGAACGCCTGGGTCCTGACGGAGGGGATGGTTGAAAAGAGGTTCGGATTTCAGATTTGGGAGAGTGGGAGGTGCACAGAAAACTGGGGACCCAGGCCTGGGGAGGTGGTCCTAAGGGAATCCTCTTAATCCAGCCTCGTCCTTTGGGGGACCCAGTCCGAGCTGGGGTTCCAGATTGCCTGGGGCTGCTCCTCTGGAGAAAGGGAGAGGCGCCTCGGGGGTTCCTGGTAGGGATTTGGGATCCCTGCCCTGTTGGAGGCTCCGGAGTTCCAAAGGCAGTTTCAGGCTGGCTTGATATGGAGGGCATTTGGGGGTGGGGACGATTAACACCCCACTTTGGGTCCGGGAAGTGTTGACGTGAGCTTGTTTGGAACTGGCAGAGGGGAGGCTAAGAGATGACGGAGAGGTTGAAAGAAATGAGGTTAGTGCACCCTCATCAGGAGAGTGGGGGAGGGAAAGAGAAATAAAGAGCCCAGACCACAGTCAGGACTGGGCAGTTTGTGGGAGCGAATTCTTGTTTGTGAGTCCGAGTCTAACGAAGATTTAAGACTGCAGAGCTAGCCTCCCCACCCCCCAAAAATGGAGCTGACAGAAATTAACACACATACACCAAAAACTAATCATAGACGCTGAAACAGACCACTCACCTACTGAGGCAGACATGCCCACAAGCGTCCCTCACACTGAGACAGACATAAACACAAAGACACTGACACATCTAAGGAAGACAGATTCCTCTCCATATCGGCACATACTTACACATTCATGTACCCAGACACATCAAAACTGATAGACACAGTTCATGTATATAAGCAGGCATTTACAAGGACACAACACACACACACACACACACACACACACACACACACACACACACACACTGAAAACCTATAGATACCAACTGTCCAGCAAACAAAGAAACTTGAACAGACATTCATGTAGTCAGACACCTATGGAGATGCACAAAATGGAGGAGGTAGTCTCTTTTTGAGGTGGGAAAATTCTGGAAAGAGGAGAGTCACCTTGGATAGAATACCCTCTGTCATTTTCATTGTCCTGCATTCCTGGGTTTGTGGGTGTGTTGTTAGGGGTGGCTTGTTATTCTGGACTCCTTTTCTCTTTGCAGGGCTCCTCCCAAGCTCTGAAAGCAAAGCCTGGTTGAGTTGATGGGGATGGATCTTGATCCATCATCTCCCCCTCACTACACACACACACACACACTTGAGATATGAGAGGGGCACACATTCCTGGTTTGAGCTGAGTAGGAATTGGTGCTTGGGGCTGAATAGAAAGGAGGCCTGGTCCTGGGGTTAGCTGGCCAAACCAGCCACTTAGAAGAAAGTTGGGAGCATGATTTAAATTCTGATTTTGTTCAACCAGGCTGCTAGAGAGGAAGAAGAGGGGTAAGGGCATGCAGCTGGGTCAATACTGGTATGAGTTGGAGGCAAGCTTATGTCTGCTCCTTTCCCTGCAGCTCTTACATGTCAGCATCATGGATACAAATGAGCTTCAAGAAACAAAAGCTGCAGTTAGGAAACATGTGGATTGAATCGGGGAGAAAAATTGTTAGAAAGAGAGACGTGTGTTTTACGCCTTTCTCCCTTTGGAAAGAGGGGAGGGGCTAAGGGTTAGCTGAACTCCCATGTCCCTGCCTCCAGCAGGGGTGAAAACAAGACCTGATGAAAGTGTGCAAAAGTATTGAGGGGTTGGGGGTGGGGCAGGAGGGGAGAGAATGAGTGAATGCCAAAGTAAAGAAAGGGAGAAAATAGACCAGAGGGGACAGGAAATAACTACTGAGTGTTCTGGGAAGCTGAGTAAGGACTGGGATGGAGGCAGGGATAGAAAAAGTGGAGATTTGGGGAGATGGGGTAGGAGGGAGGCTGTGGTACCTCTTCTACTTAGCTTCCATCTATAGAAAGGTATTCTAGGTCAGGGACTGAGGTGGTGAGAGAGGAAATGGCGATTGCCAGGGTACTGAGGGATGGTAGTAGGAAATGGGAAAGTGGCATGAGAAAGCAGTTGAACTGAGGGGAACAGAGAAAAGAGGGAAGAGGATATTCAGCCTAGGCAGAGAAATAAAAATCACATTTTAAAGAATGTCAGTGGGCTTCATCAACTTCATTTTTCACTAAATAATTTTCTGTATCTTATCTAAATGAAAACCATTATCCTTACCTCTATTTCCATCATGTGACAGCTCCTCAGACTGATTGTGCCAAAAATTGAAATATTTAATCATTTTCTGGAAGATTTTTTTACTCCCAGTCTTGGAGAGGAAAAATTGAAAAAAGAAAAATTATAGCTAATCAGAGCAATGTGGGATGACAGGCTGGCTTGAGGTGGGAGCTGCTTCCAGAGTGAGGAGTGGAGGTAGGGGTGGGAGAAAACTCTGTCCCTTCAACTCTCAGAGGTCCTCTGGACATCCTTGCCACCTTCTGGGAGTAGGGTGAGAAGTAAAGTCAAGAAACCAGAGGCCCTCCTAAATTCTCAGTATTCAACTCTCTGAACACAGCTACATCCTGGCAGATAACGTAAGTCTGGAAAAAGAATAGTTGGGCATTGAGTCTCCCCTCCCCACACTACACACAGACACACACACTGCAGATGTCCCTCTTCTATCTGCTTAGCTCAGAGCAGGCCTGAAGGGTGAGGAAGAGGTGGGCAGACAAGGCAGAAATCAAGATACCAGGCTTCCCTCCTTGATTCTGATTGTATTCTACCTTCCACTCACTTAGACCTAAAGGGGAGGCATACATCCAGTACTCAGTGCCTGTCATTACCTCTGGCCACAGTCCTTGATCAGGAGGACATGGAGTTCTCTAGGTCCTCTTACCTTCTCACCTTCTGCATGGTTGGTTGTCTTGCTCTGCCTTGGTTCTCTGGTGGTATGGGGCAAAGGCTGTCCTCTGGGTCTTAGAATTCACCCTTTGAGAACTGTATACTCTTTTTTTTTAAAGATTTTATTTATTTATTTTTAGAGAGGGAAGGGAGGGAGGGAGAGAGAGAGAGAGAGCGAGAGAGAGAGAGAGACATCAATGTGCAGTTGCTGGGGGTCATGGCCTGCAACCCAGGCATGTACCCTGACTGGGAATCGAACCTGCAACACTTTGGTTTACAGCCTGCACTCAATCCACTGAGCTACTCCAGCCAGGGCGAGAACTGTATACTCTTAATGAAAGCTTCTCTAGGCCCTTTTTAATTCATCAGAGACCAAGCTCTAATTTTTTTATTATCCTTTCAGTTTCTGACACTTACAATAGATTTGATGAGAGTGCTAAATGGTGATTAAATCACAGCTCCCTGGTTAAACCCTATCTAGGCCACTTGGTAGCCCTGTCAGCTTAAACAGGGTATATGCCTTCTCTGTGCCTCAGTCTGCTCATCTGTAAAGTGAGGATAGAAGTAATATCCCATACGGTTTCAATGGCACTTAAGTATGTTGATCTATGTAAAGTGCCTGGAACAGTCTGACACAGGGAGAAGTGCTCAGTAATGCTTCTGGCTATGACTCTGTGCCTAGACATAGAGGGATAAGCAATTGAGTTGTCTGTATCTCCTTTCCAGCTTGTTTTTATGCTTATTTTTTGTTTTCTTGCCCCAACTGCACAAATTCTTGATCCTGTACTTCAGCACCTCCTCTTGTGTTTCTAATAGAGAGAACTGGGTTGTGGCAGGCAGACCCATAAGGAGAAACTGGCCAGCCTCTCCTTGGTTGGAGAACTCAGAAGATGTGTGGGGAAGGGAATTGGGGAGAGAGCAAAGTGGAAGATGATGGTATTTTAGTGACAAGGAACCAAGGCTTTTGTGAGAAATGAGGAGGGACACTAATCCCAAGTGGCAACATTTCAGAGTCTGGAAATAATATGGATCATTTATTGAGCCCTGTGCTAACTACTTTATATGTATTATCTAATTTAATCTATACAATGATCCCCTCAGATCAGCTCTGTAGTTATCTCCATTTCATGGATGAGAAATTGAGGCTTAGACAGGTTAAGTATCTTGTTAACCAGTTGTGGGAACCAGCTGACCTCAAAGCCTGTACCCTTCTCTTTTGCCAGGGTTCCCACATGCCAGCAGGAATGGATGCTGGGCTAGGACAAGGTTTTTCCTGGTCCATTGCAGAATGAAAAGTAGGAGGAAAAGAGAGTCAGTGTCTCATAAAAATAAACATTAAAATTTTTAAAACAATACTTTATTCTAAAGTTTTGTCCTTCTACATAAGACTGTGTTGAATGGTTTTTCTTTGATGGTTGATGGTGCTCATAACTGACTTTTTAAAAAAAGACTTTACTGAGGAAATGAAATGCTTTTCAACCCAGCCTTAGGTCCATGAACTACAAATTTGGGAACTTTAATGCAAGGCAAACTCCTAGAGAGGTACAGAATCCTACAAAGGGAAGCACTGAATAGGGGCCTGGGGACAATCCCAGGACAGTCAGCTTCCAAAGCAACCTGACAGACTTGCAGACTGGGTGTTGGGTGGCCTGTTCCGATCTCCTGTGGAAGGCTCTATTTTGGCCTAGGGTGGTGAAAAGTGATTATAGGAGGTGGACTCCATACCCAAGCATCAGAGTGACATTTTATTGAATTCCTGCTGTGTGCACTATTTCATGTTCACTATTACTTATTCTTTTTAAGAA